GTTGCTACTCATGCATTTATACAGCTAAAGTAGCAACAGAAAGAAATAACATATATGCTTATACTCTGACTTTCAGGCAGAGGATACTGAAATGAAACTCAGGTACGTCTGCTGAATCACACCTGTATACAGAACGGCAAGTACATTAAGGACTAGAGTGTATTTTCCATGTATGAGATCTCAGAAAAAAAAGAAGAAGAAGAAAAAGTAACACAAAGAGCTCTCAGACGGAGAAAAGAGAACTGCAACTTTTCCCTTTGGGCAACAAAATTATGCAGAACTCCAGAAGCAGCTGGAGGCAAAGACATCACCCATGGCATGCAGCAATCTGAGACTGAAAACAAATGCTAGGTTTAGATGGTTATGAGGAAAGCTACTACAAAGTCTCTAGAAAACCCGGGGATGTAAATGAAATAGTTGATCTGATGGATCTTCATGATGACTAACAACAATTACACAAAAAGAAAGAGCAAGGCATTTTTCACTGTTCAAATCCATTTGTGGATACAGCATGTAGTCTTCATCTAGCTGTCATGTCCAATAATACTGTGTTTTTCCTGGACTGACATGAAATGTGTCAGTTATGGTAAAACCAATGTATACTTTACAAATCTGTCCATCATTTTGAGCACCTGCATCTTTCTTACATACACAGACAGCTGTGTTTTGTGCAAGGGGGCTGACTTTTGTGTATCTAAATTGATAAGAGGAGGCAAAGCTCCCATGCTCAGCTCTAACACAACTGAAATGAAACATCACACATAGTTATTGAACATTAAAGGAGTGATATATGTGATTTGATTGGGTGTGGGTGTACTTGTTACCATTTCCTTTCCCTTCTTCATACCATTTGACTTTCCTGATCAGTAAATGTTATAGGGAAGCCAAAGCATATTGATGTTTTTGGGTTTTTTTTGTACCTGCTTGTCATTAATTCATTGCTGCTGTCATCTCTATTGAATATAATAATGCACAGAAGTGTCATGACAAGAAGAATTATTATAGCTTGAGGCTGTCTTACTCATCAAAAACATGTAGTTTCTTTGCAGCTCAGACAGACATCAAAAATAACAGACTAAATAATTCGCATGGTATAAAAACCTGTTTTGTCCTGTAGTAAGACAAATGCAGTATTTGGTGTAAAACATGCTAATTCCACTCACTTTTATGGCAATAAGTTGTACTGATCATAACATCTGCAGGATTGGCCCTTTATTTTTTAATTTTAACACCTACTCTACTACTATCTTCTCTACTACTACTAGCAATTCCAACTCCTACTATATAACTAGGTAAGTGTTCAAATGAAATTAGGATTTCTGACTTTTTCATCTTTTTATGGTGAAAAGTGTTCCCACATTCCCATTCCAACAACAAAAAAAAAGTCTCAAGTTATGTTTTATGGGCAGCTTCAAGCTACTTCTGAGCTCTTCCATTCCCTCTCTCCACAGGAATGTTTAAACCTTCTGTAGCAGTTACTAACGCAGATATGTTTTCTGATCTAAAATGGTGATTCCAGTAAAGATTGACAATTATTTGAAGGCAGAATGCAATAAAAGGATGTAGCAAGCTCTGCTGTTGCCACCTGCTGTTCACGTTCCCCTTGGAATGGCTCGGACAGGCAGGATTGCACAATCCAAGCGAATGGCAAAGACCAAAACGTAAGCACTGAGTGTGTACAAAGTGATCAGAAGTAGAAAGGAGTGAATGAGTGAAGATTCAGCAGGAACCCATCGATGAGAAAGAACGGTGGTCCAAAGCGGTCACTCTTTCAGGGTTTCTACATCTGGGTTACAGCCCGCTCCTCACCTCCTCTATGTATGAACATCCTATTCCCAGCAAGCATGTGCTGTCAGTAACTGCAGCCATCTACTACTAAGTCAAGCCTCCAATTGTTTGCCTACCTTGACAGCAGCAGGAAACTCTCAGGTAAGCCATTGATGGGCAGCCTTTCTTTGCAGTAATTATTCCATTAATGAGGAGGATCTGCTGTGTTGACAGTGTGCTAGAAAAGGGGTTAAATGCTAGAACTGAAAGCTGACATTGAGAGCTAGGGAAGAAGGCACAATATTCAACAGGTAGGGACCAGCGATGGAACATGCAGCAGAGCAATGATTTTGTCCAAAGTATGAAAGGAAACTGCACAGTCATTCCCTCCCTCCATGTGAGAGGAGACAAGCAGACAAAGGGATAGATCTATGAGAACAGGAAGCTCAGTAAAAAACTGCACCATTACATCTTCTCTCTCTTTTGTGGGGCACAAAATACATTTTTGATGGAAATTCAGATACTTGGTGGGATCAAAACCCATCTGCACTGTTCATTTCGGTCTCTCCCAGCCTTTAAATCAGTGCTACTGGAAATTGACATGGACTTCCTCCTTCCAATTGGAATACAAATGTGAGTGTAGGTAATGTGGTGTTCTACAATCTGGTAGTTCTTTTCTAGGCTAGAATTTCTGCAGAAGCTAAACATCCATCTTCTGGGTTGCCATACAGCCAGATAACCAAAGGGTAAAAAGCATTACTTGTGTTGACTGCATACAAGGCAGATTTCACTGACCTGGTGTTGCTTTCAAAATCATATCAGATAAAACCAGGACCTAACGAAGAGAAACTTTTCAGCAGACAAGTTAATACTTGACAGTGCATTTGTCAGGCAGCCAAGCTGCTGCCCTGGTCCCCGAGTTACTGTTCAGTACAGGCAGCTAAAACTCAGGTTGTCTGTCTTTCAGTTTGCAGACAGCATGGCTTTTGTAAGCGATGCCTCCAAAACTGAAGGGTACAAATCACTACTGCTCAAGTTTGGTCCAAGTAAACCTGACAGATCCGTTTGACCACATCACATATATGTAAATAATAATGCAAAGGACAATGTTGTTTGGGCAGCCTGCTCTGGTGGGTTTTGAGGTCCCTTCCAGCCCAAGCCATTCTGTAATATGATACAATTCTATGAAATGTTGTCAGTTTTCAGCTTATTAAAAAAAAAGAAGCAGCCTGAAAGGAGGTTGTAGTGAGATAGGGGTCAGCCTCTCCTCCCAGGTAACAGCGACAGGATGAGAAGGAAGGGCCTTAAGTTGAGCTATGATTGGTTCATGTTGGACATCAAGAATTTCTTCTCAGGAGGAGTGGTTATGCACTGGCACAGGCTGCCCAGGGAGGTGGGTAGTCTAGTCACCATCTCTGGAGGTGTTGAAGAGCTTTGTGGACGTGGCAAAGGGACATGGTTAGTGGGCATGGCAGGGATGGGTTAGTGGCTGAATTTGATGATCTGGGAGGTTTTTTCCAACCCTAATGATTCAATGATTCCACTGTTCTAACTACATAGAAGCTTTTCTCAGTTATTAACAAGTCTTGCTCAAATTACCCCAAACTGTCAGGCAGAGATTAAAATTGTTTTGAGCTTTCAGATGTCTCACGCATATAACCCCGCCAGTTTTTCTTGTGTTTTGGTTTATTGTGTAGATAAAGCAGGTGCTGCAGGACCAGTGATGAACGCTAGCTGGCATTCCCACTGCCTCTGGTGTGTTTGAAAGAAAAATAGTACCAGAATACTGCTTTAAAGTGATGTATCTGAGATATAAATAGCACCTCAGAAATTAATCACGCTCGTAAATCAGAGGCTTGCTCCAAAAAGCCCGGTGAGATGAGGGATGCGAAGCGCTTGTTAAAGCTGGGAGCAATAAATACAAATGGTAATTTCTAAACCTTTTAAATTCAATTACAAGGGCCGCGGAGGCAACCCGAGGGCCGCCGGGCCGGGCGCACCGCCGGGCACCTCTCCCCGCGTCAGGGCGGCGGGGCGCAGGCCGCAGGCGGCGCGGGGAGCCCCGTCCCTCAGCGCGGCCGCCATTGGCTGCCGCCCGGGGGGGGGAGCATGGCCGCGGGGCGCCGCGGGGAGGCGCGGAGCGGAGCCGGGCTGCCGCGCCCGCGTAG